CTACGGTCTTTCGTTGAGTGCCGCCTAGAAAGAATTAAATTACTATGATTTAAATTCAAGGGTAATCTCGTTCCGCAGCACGACAATTTAGCATAAAGAAAAGCATCCAGGAACGGATCAGTTTTGTTATGCAGGGAAGCCACTGTAGTTCAAATTGATTCTTTGAATGTGAAGGTGACAAACTTGGGTGCGAATAGAAATACAGTACCTCCGAAGTACTTCTCACGGGAAATAATAAATTGAATCGGCTCAGATTTTTTGTTCAATTCATATACAATCCAGATAAAAGGGCTGGTTTGTAAAAGATGATAAACAGCCAAATGCCGACATCACAAGCGGATGCAATTGTTTCTTTTGTTCTTCAATCCCTCATTTTGGTTTTTTATGAATTTTTCATTCACTACTCAGCTACACATGAAAACAAGAAAAATACCTCACAGTCAATGATCTCCACTGAAGTGAAGTTTAATGCATCAAGAGGAGCTGCGCACTTGATCCATTAAACTTCACTTCGGTGGAGAGCATTGATAAAACTTGTAAAACTGGTAAGCATCGTAAAACTGGTTTCATAATTAGTATGTCGGACCTGAAATCTCAATGGAGATGTGCAAGGAGACTGAATCAACGCCTCCACAACATCCCGTCTTGTGAGGGGTTGCTGGTCTTTCGGAACTGCTACAGGCTGCATCGCTTCGAGAAGAGGAATCATACTCTCAATCCCGAAATACTTGGCTTCTTCCAGAACACCTAAACGTCAATTTCCGTAAATATAAAGCGTAAAAAAAAAAACATTCCAGTTATGACCAAAAAAAACGAAGTTTAACGATAGAGTAAAAGAAAAGAAGATTCGAACCTCTTGGATTTATGCTTTGGTCCAAAACTAAATTCCCGGTACGTAAATAATTCAGCAAGGGTTCGAAGTACTTCGGACTCCTGTCGAGAAGATACGCTCCAGATGCATCTTTCACTCCCGGCTTCAGGCAAAAATCTTCCGTTTCCCGAGAAAACATTCTGCAAAAGAACATTGCATCCGATGACCAACAAAGCATGACGATTTTAAAAGGTTGATTGACAAAATAAACACATAATCGATCACATTAGTGTTCCCATTATCTCTGATTTCGCATCGGCTAACGGCGATTGAAGGACTGCCAACAACAATTTCCTCATGTTTTCTCATATTCACGGTATCATTTTACCAGCTTTCTGACCTCCTAAAGTTCAGATCCTGCTTCAAACTATATTCACCTTGAATTTTGGGAAATGTGTTACACACCCTTCAACTTTTGAACACCAGCCTGTATCGGTTTTATACGTGTTCAAATAAAATGAACTGTAAAGGGAAATGGAACATTATTGAGGCCACACGAACTCGGGTAACAATAATTCGTAGAGAACACTGCTACACGCGGTTTTCGAAGACACAGATGATTACTTGTCAATAAACGTGGCGGAAACTATCTTCTCTAAAATTCCATTACGCCTCACTCAAGTCCACACCAGGAAAAAAATGTTTGTCAGTGAAATTCGAAAAATTATAGGTTATTGGATGGGTTTCTTCTCCAGTGTTTTTCACCAGATGTTGTCCTAATTCGGATATATACCGTACATTTGCACAAGAGAGGAAGTTTAAAATTTCAAACCTTGCAAGCATGCATGTCGGCTCTTTTCCTACGAGAGTAGCTCTTGTGGTGGTGAATATTTGCCCGCCGACGTTGAACGAGATCCATTCATCTATTCAGATTATTAGAAAAATAATTCAGTTTCAATCAAAAAATGTGCAAAGGACTGAAAAAAGACACTCACCATCCATTCCCACGTCCCCGAAAGCCCAGTTGACTCAACAAATGATCAACAAGGCAAGAGAAACTACTTTCCTTAAACAATTATAATTTTTAAAGATCCACTGCGTTACTAATAACGAATTTAAATTCACATGCGCGCATATTCAAACCATATTTTTATTTGCAAAAAATATCTTCTTGGATCCATGGACAATACTGTAATCGATGCAGAAATAAAATAAAACGGTCAACTAATGCGAAGACGGTGGAAAAAGGCCACTTAAACAAGGCATCCATGATTGCAAGTCAAAGAAATCTCGGTCGTTCACCTCGAATCCAAATCTCATCAAGGGCTGCAATGAAACAAAACATTTTGACATTGAGAAATACATTTTATAAACGGAAAATGGTAATTAATGAACCTCCGCTCGCTGCAAATTCACCCACGTCCACGTTATTTTCTGCAGGGATTCTTGGCAAAATCGATCCACATCCACGCCCTGGAAAAAAAATTATGCGCGAAAATACAGTACTGTATACTGTAATACTAATATTGTACCGGGTGTCCTAAAAGTCACTGTGGATGAGAAGCATGTTGAACATTTTTAAGGGTTTCAAATCGGATGAAATGCACACATACGTGCGTTCTACACGGTATATGTTCACGCGGTCTAAAAATTGCTTTATATACGCCAAAACATCAATAAAAGGGGGAGCATCATTTCTTTAAAATGTCACCAAAATCAGCAGATGAACCCTCTAACTCGAATGTTGGGCTATGTTCACGAGAACACAAGGAACCCAAAAGCAACCATGCAGAACTCGGGATGACTCACTGTCATACCTAAGAACAAGATTAGGAATAAATTTAGAATTTTAGCTAAACTTTCGCAAGAAATCTTATGCCCGTATATACAGTATAAGATGTTCAACTTTGTTTTCAATTACCGAAAATTCCTATTTGAGAAACTGTGTTGGATAAAAACTTAAAATTGAAGCCCAATCATACACTGGATTTCACGGATATTTTCGTTTCATATAAATAAGAGTATCATTATACTGTACAGTGGTGGTATTAGAAAACTCAACGAAACACATTTTTTTTTTAAATGAGAAGTTTACGTTTTGAAAAAATGTCACTTGCAATTTCGAACCCGAATATGAAGCCCCCCTCATTTTTTGCCCCATTTTTTTTTTTTTTTAAATCGCGCGTTTACCCAAGTAAATAAGGTACCTTTGCATCTGAACTGAATCAAGTTAATCTTTCACAAACGTTCGCTTCTAAAAAGCAAGTATTTGTACGACACCTAGATGGAACTTCAGTAAGTCCGCGGAAAATTGAAATTCACGCGTAAGTTCCGCGACCGCCAGTGACATCTAGCGGCACTAAAACACAGTGACAAGGGATGGACATTTCATCCCAAGGATAACGCATTTCTCAACGCACAGCGACCTTTTTGGATAACCTACGGAGTCACGAAAAACACTGAATAACTTGATCAAACCTGCGGTTGAACAGGCGATATTTTCCATACACCCGGGCTAGGCATCACAGCGACATCTATCTCATTCAAGGCATACGAAGCGGAGCACTGCAATCGAAACCGACAAGCATTCCTCTGCGCTCCACCAAACACCCAGCCGGTGTCGCCCTTTTTCAGAGCAATAGCCTTCCTTATATGTGATCCCAACGCAGCCATGAAGTTCTGCTTGACAGCTTCATTCACTGAAATGCATCAACAACGTTTTATTGCGCAACGAAGCAAATCGGGAGAACATGGGAAAAGTCATGGCTCATTGATGCTACAACTTCTAATCATGCACAGGTGGACTCGCTCTACGACATTCTAGTCTACAATGATTTCCTCTGTATAACGAATTCGTTTAGTCCCATTGCATAAGGTTCCCTTCCCATGTTATAGGCATACTAGGGTTCTCTACAAAAAAATTGTTCATGTTCACTTGAATTTCATCATCTACTACAGTACCATGAACCTTGGTGCATTTGCCCAACTCAGATGTGGCCAAGCCAAGGGGCCACATTACTACATTTTTTGGGGGGCCAAGTACAACATTGCAGAGATGGAGAGTCCTTGTGAACCAATATCGACATTGAGGCTCAAAATGTTCCCCTCCACAGAGGAAACGTTTCAATCATAATTTAGTGCTATGTTTTAAATCACAAGCATACCCTTGTGAAATTTTTGGAGGATGGAGTAACATTTTGAATCTTTAAATTCATCCCTCAATGTCCATTTTGGATTGTGGAGACTGCCTTCTTTAAAATTATATAGGGAAGAGACCAGCAGACAGATAAAGAGTCTCTGCGGGCCAGATCCAGCGCGCAGGCCATATGTGTTGGTCAGCACTGCATTACCATGTTTACGCAAGTACTGTACCACGTCCACATTTTTCTTCAAAATTGAGTAGGAAACAGGCGTGGTATCATCTACAAGAAACCAATTTTTTTGGGGTAAATCCCCAAAGCCAGTGCACATCATAAGTGAGTATACCAAGTGAAAAACATGAAGACTCCTTTTCCATGCTAAGTAATGGTTCAAACAAAAAAATCCTGTAATATTACTTGTGGGCAGCAAAAATTGTTTCTCCAATAATTTTATCAGTTTGAGATGCAACATGATGTAAGGGATGGGAACGATTAAAGATATTTATACAATGAATGAAGCTGCTGCTGCCATGAAATGCAAGCACGGTTCAAAAGCTCCTGTCGGCAATAATAAACAGGAAAGACATGTTCTGGATTCAAAAAAATGGATCCACACACAAAAAAGGTATCAATTTTTTAGCAAAAAAAAACGGATGAAGGTCTTACATGGATTTTTGGACGAGATACTCAGCAAAAATAAAAAAAATGAACTAAAAATGGGGAGTACGTCATATGCTCAAGGGTGTGGGTTACTTGAGTAAATACAGTATTTAACTATGCACAACAATTTTAAAATTCTTTTTAATTAATGCTTGATTATTTTTCCTCTGTCACTCTTGCCACACACGATCAAGATTTCAATCAAATATAATCCTTAGCCAATGAAAATGAGTCTTTCTTCGAGTCCCGGTATCGAAATTCAAAAATTTGTTCACGCATACAGAATCTTCCTGTCCTCACAAACCTACGACCACGTTCAGGACGAGAGAATTTCTTCTAGATCTAGTTCTAGACTGACCTGGATCTGACCAGGACCTGTTCTCTGTCAACGACGACGTGATATCTGGCGTTTGATATTTGACTTTGAGTCCCATAAGAACTTGAGTAAATCCACCCGAAAGTGTTTCCCGCCTCTGCAAATGATCAACGATTTTTGAAGTGGCATTTTCATACGCTTTGCTGCCTTCTCCAGTGGAGCTGAAAATAATCAGGTTCTTCGCCTTGTTTCGCCGCCTAAAAACAAAAAAGCGGCATACGATCAGGAAGCGTTGCAAATTGCGAAATTCAATACGAATTTCAGCCAAAATCTTAAGGAAAGCGAAAATAAAATTTATTTTAACCTCAGAGAAAAAGCAAGATATTCTTTCGAAATAATGATAATTAAGTCATGTATTTCTGTAGTCAAAGAAAAATGACTGTATTTAGAAAATATATCTTCAAACGAAAACACGCCCCATTCTGAAAACTGCACCCTATTTACTCTATGATACAAAAATCAAATTGAGGTACACATGTCGAGTTTGCAGAAATACAGACACATCTTCAATATCCTTGTCGAGAATTTTGAAAAACGGAAATTTTTTTACTGGAATTACCCAAGTCCCATTTTTTTTTGCAATTCATGAAATTTTATTAATTTGTAAATGCTTGGAAACCTTTTCATGATTCAAATGAAGGTCACGGTGTCTTTCAAAACAAACTTCTCGCTTCCCTCGACTATTACCGAATTCACTTGGGTAAGACGCGCATCAGGGTTTCTCAGTCTGATTTTTTTTATTTGTACCCTAAGTAAGATGCGCAACTCTTTTAGTGGTTTTAAAATTACAATAATTCAAAAATGATAACACCCCAATTTTAATTTAGACGTGATTTTAATCTGAATTCAATTAATTTTCCATTGTTTCGATTAACATACGAGTTTCCGTTAGAACCGGTCCAACATGAGCCATCAGAATCAAGTACAAACTTCTAGAAGTTTAAAAAAAATGTATACCTTCAAATGACGTGCACCCATTTTTTAATATTTTGAGAAAAAGTAACGCGTGGTCCTCAAGTAAATAGGCTTTAAATTTCTCAGGATTCCGGAGATACCTAATTCGTTTTAATAACAAATGTTCTCGCAGGATTTCAGCTTCAAAACAATGATTTAAATCAATCCGAGAATCCGTTTCCAAAAAATAGCATAAAATTATGCTCACGAGCAATGGGAAGCATTAGACGACGAGGTGGAATCCGTTCGACTTGAAGAAGATGATGATGAACTCCAGGAATCCACGATGACACAGGAATCGTTGACCCGCACGCGACAACAGTCAAGCACCAAAACCAGAGCTGCGGGCTGAGCTCTTTGAAACTCGTCCACAATTGAGTCCACCGTCACACTCACCCCGTCCATCCCCATCAAGCAACGCTTTTGTTTCGCTTCAAAACCGTGGCCAGAAAAGAAAAACACCACTGCGGAAAACAATGCATCACGGAATCACGTCCATTGGTGCTTTTATTCATTTTATTTCAATCGTATTGCGGTGAAACTTGGAAGACCCAGGACCCAGGTACAAATCGATGTCTTCAGGATGGCACAATTTCATTTTAGAGACACAAAATCGGGGTCTCAGATGTAGGCAATTGTCCGACTGATCAAAGGTTTTCGCCCATCCTTTAAATTGTTTAACCTTACCATAGGAAATACAGCGAGACCCATACCTGCGGACGATTCCATATAGGGACATTTATTTACCAATAAAAAATGCATAAAACAGGCCCGACATGTGGACACTGACTCGACATGCGGACATTGCATGATAAAATCACCAATAAGTTTCAGGAAAAATTACTTTCATCAGGCTGAATTGTAAGAAACAGATACTGTATTTCCAACCCTAAGATCTATGCAAGAAAAGTTCATAGATATTTTTCCATCATTTTCCCAGTCATTCGGCTAATTTAAAAATATTACCTCCAGCACAGAGGGACTTCTTCTCCAGTGACTTTTTCTCCAGTTTTTTTTTTAAATTAAAAATAAGCAACTGGAGAACCAATGAAGCAGGTAAAGTGGAATGTCTTCAAAAAAATTAGAAAGGTGGGCTTGAACAAAAGTTTCTCAGAATGAAACATTTTAAGAATGCATATCATCACATGAAAAGTTGTCTGAAGTGTTATTTGGAGAAAAGCCAACTACAGCATTATTTTTCATTAGATAATTTTAACTGCAATTGTCTTGCAAAAATTTCAGATAAAAATACTGTAACATCCTTCATTGACAGTTTTGATGAGTTTAGTATGCACGGACCAGCAAAAAACTTCTGCAGACAGCCGCCGCTCTGCAGACCATGGGTTGAGGTACACTGGTACAGACAAAATCATTGCAGATGAGAGATTTTACCTTTATCCCCAACTTGCTCTTCTGTGCACTGATAAGATTGTGTCACATGGATTTTCTTTAAAATTCTACAGCTGAAAAAAGAAAACATTAAGCAGACTGAATATTCGTAGTACTGTACTGTATAGATAACCTTTATACAATACTTCTTTAGTATGGGTAACCCTCCGGAACCAAAAGAAAATTTGCTATACAGTCCGGAGAAAATTGTTGCAGACAAAATTGTTGCAGATGAGAGAGTCTACCTTTATCCCATATTTTTCATTTTTTTGGCACTGAAAAGATTGCATCAGATGGATTTTCATTTGATTTCTTTAGCTGGAGGAAAATCAAAAAAAATTTAGTAGATTAAAAAATTAATCTAAAAAACCACGTTTTCAAAAAGCAAAAATTAACCTAAACGTGGTGCGCATCTATTTCATTTGTATTTCACTTCTTCCCAACAATCTCCATGCACACCACGTTTAAGGTTATTTTTTGCTTTTTGAAAACGTGGTTTTTTAGATTAATTTTTTAATCTACTAAA